GAAAAGTTCTAGAAAAGGACTTAGGTCGGGAGGAACTCTGCCCAGCAGTTTTGCACAGATAGTGGAAGAATACAGCTTAATGGATGTATGGAGGGTGAGAAATTTAAATAAAAATGATTTCACGTTCTATTCGCCACGCCACGACTCATGGTCAAGAATTGATATGATATGGATGTCAACAAGTATGACCAGGGAAGTGATGGAAAGTGAAATATTACCAAAAACATTCGCGGACCATAATCCAGTGTCAGTTTCAATAAGAGAAGATCATAAGAAAAACAGGATGATCATAAATACAGCTTTACTTAGAGATACAGCTTTTGTACAAAGATGTAAAAATGAAATCTTAGAATTTTTCAAGTTAAACTCGTCGGTGGAGACACCGTTAGACATAATATGGGACGCATTTAAGGCGTATATAAGAGGACGCTTCATTAGCTACAGTGCATGGAAATGTAAACAAAAAAAAGGAGAAATACGACCAATTAGTCAAGCACATCAAGCAGCAAGAAAACATTGTGAAAAGGTTAAGAGACGACGGAAGCGCAAAAGTAAAATTAAATCTCTTACATCATAACTTAAACAACTTGCTAAACTATGAAATAGAGAAAAAAATTGAATACACCAAACAATACTACTTTGAAAATATAAACAAGCCAAATAGATGGCTAGCTTATAAGGTAAAGAAAGAAAGGGAGAAACGTATTATAACTAAACTAAGAAACGATAACAATGAGGAAAAGTTCAATTTACAAGATCTTAAGAAGATAGTGGAAAAATTCTACAAGGAACTATACCAACAAGATGTACAAGAAGAAGCTCTAATTACAGAATATTTAAGTGCAAGAGTAGAAAAATTTAATGAACAACAGAAGAAAATTCTTAATGGTCCAATAACCATGTGTGAAATTGTGGAGGCGTTTAAAAAACAGAAAAAGAAAAAAACACCTGGCCCAGATGGGATTCCGGCAGAATTCTATCAAGTTTTTGAAGAACAGTTATGTACTCCATTTAAAGAACTTTGTCAAAGAATTGGTAAATACAGCAAGATACCAGAATCCTGGAACTACGCTTTAATTACGTTAATTCGAAAACCAAACACTGATTTGAGTGACATAAAAAACTATAGACCCATATCCCTCCTAAACGTTGATTATAAAATTTTTGCATCGATACTAGCAGGAAGACTAAAACGAGTTTTGGCGCAGACTATCCATCCAGATCAAACTGGCTTTTTACCCAAGAGACAAATGAGAAACAATATGAGGATAATTATAGATGTTTTAGAATACTACGAAGAACATCCAGAGAAAGAACTAATGTTAATGTTTCTTGACGCAGAAAAAGCGTTTGATAATCTATCTTGGGACTTCCTGCTTCAAAAATTGAACATGGCAAATCCTGGTCAAGAATTTTATAACGCAATTAAAACCATATACAAAAGGCAATACGCGAAAGTAATAATAAATGGTGACCTGACCGAAGTAATAGAAATACAGAAAGGAACCAGGCAGGGATGTCCGTTGTCACCCCTACTTTTTATTTACGCGATAGAGTCACTTAATGAAGATGTAAGATGGAATAAACAAATAGAGGGTTTAAAGGTAAAAGGCGAAGAATTCAAGTTACAGGCATTCACTGACGACTTGGCGTTCATACTAGGAAACCCCAAAGCGTCCATAGGTGAATTGATGAAGACAATTAAAAATTACGGCCAGGTTGCAGGATTTAAAATTAACTACAAAAAATCTAAAATTATAGTAAAGAACTGTCTTCAAAGTACACTAGAAAAAATTCAAGAGCTGTCTAACATGGAAATGGTCAAAAAGACAAAATATCTGGGAATTAACATGACAAATAAATGTAACTCCATAATAGAGGAAAATTATACCAAGTTATTGAAAGAGATTAGGCTGGATCTGCATAAATGGAATGACATCCCACTATCACTCATGGGTAGAATAGCACTGGTCAAGATGAATGTGTTACCAAGATTCCTGTTCCTAGCGCAAACTATACCAGTATTAAAGAAACAGGCATTTTTTGAAGATCTGAATAAAATCACCAGGCAATTTATTTGGCAACATAAGAAACCTAGAATAAAATGGAAAGTGCTCCAAGATAGGAAGGAAAGAGGAGGAATGAGTGTCCCCAATTGGTATATTTACTATCAAGCGGCCGCCCTAGTATGGATAAAAGAATGGATCATATTAGAAAATACAAGACTTTTGGCTTTAGAAGGACACGATCTCTATATGGGGTGGCACGCTTACGTATGGTATGGGAAAGATAAGATACACTCAAATTTTGGCAGACACACATTAAGAGGATCCCTAAATAAAATATGGAACAAGATAAAAAGATTCTGCTATAGGAAAACCCCAAGATGGGTGGCCCCGTTAGAAGCCTTTCTTAAACCATCAGTAGTAACAATGAATTTAAGATACCAAACATTATTGAATAAAAATAATGAACTAAAAGCTGAAGAAAAACTACGACAAGAAAATAATTTGTCATGGTGGGAGCAGATAACATTACGAGATAGGTACAAGAAAGATATGATAAGAGGTTTTGAGGACCAAAATAACGAACTTGACAAAATATGGTTGTCCTCAAACGATAAATTAATTCAGAAGTTGTACATGTTCCTGCTAGACGATTTTGAACAGGATGAAGTAATTAAATCTGCAATGATCACATGGATGAAAGATATAGGGGAAATAACAGAAGAGAACTGGACTAGTATGTGGAAATCGGTCAAATTTATGAGAGCGGTAGCGTACAAAGAAAACGTATACAAGATGTTTCATAGATGGCACTGGGCCCCCGATAAGTTAGCCAAATGTTACAAAGGCTATTCAAATTTGTGTTGGAAATGCAAAGAGTGTAAGGGGACTTTCTATCATATGTGGTGGGAATGTAGTAAGATCCAAGGTTTCTGGAGGATGGTCAGAAAAGTAATTCAAGAAAGCCTGGGAAAAAATGTAGCGCTAAAACCGGAAATTTACTTGTTAAACATGATTCCGAAAGGATATAACAACCAGGAAGCATATATACTAAGCTATGTTATAACAGCTGCCAGACTGTTAGTAGCCCAAAGATGGAAAGCAGAAGTGATACCTACAAGGGAAGAACTGATAGACAAGATTTTAGAACTAGCCAGAATGGATGATCTAAGCTTAATGTTACAGAATAAGAATGAAAAGGTACACAAAAAGAGATGGGAAAAAGTGTATAAGTGGATAGAAAAACAGACAGAAAATTAATATCCCCAATTGACATAAAACAGTGAAAGGGGAAAGACTCTGATATCTATGTAAACGAAATAGATGAAATGTACATGTATACTTTTGTAAATAAAAATAAAATTTACTTCAAAAAAAAAAGGATATCTGCACTTAAGAGAAGAAGAAGAAGAAGAAGAGATTGGATTTATACCCTGCCCTTCACTACCCAAAGGTGTCTCAGAGCAGCTTACAAACTCCTTTCCATTCCCCTCCCCACAACAGACACCCTGTGAGGCGGGTGGGGCTGAGCGAGCTCTGACACAAACTGCTCTTTTTCGAGAATAGCTCTGACAGAACTACGGCTTGCCCAAGGTCATCCAGCAGGTGCAAGTGGAGGAGTGGGGAATCTAACCCAGTTCTCCCAGATTAGAGTCTAATACCCAGGGGAGAGCTGAGTACCCGGGGGGAGGGGAGTTGCTGTGGGTGGGAGTCAGTGAGTGGGCAAGGGCAGTTTTGAACACAGGACCCCACCCTTGACGGGGACTTGTCTGGACTGGGGCTCTCCCAGTCACGTTGCTTTTTATTTGAGGGCTTCTGCAGGCCTTGCATTTTTGTAGGTGTTCACCTAAGATTTCTTTCAAGTGCACATCCCAAAATGTACTGCTTGCTGAAGACAACTAGCACCTGGCCCATACAGTTTACACTCGTGCCCTTTTGCAAGCACATTGTGTGGGAAACTGACACGCCACCCTCCAAGAATCTGTGTAGAAATTTACAATGGACGGACAAAGTTTTTAAAATCGAGCCTCCAGTCTGCAGGATGACAAACATTATGTCGATACAGGGGAAATGGCTCTTTCTCTTGCCCCAGTTCCTGTTGCTCACAGTCAGTGATGCATCAGAAACTTTTGGGGGCACAGGTTGGTAATTTCCCATCAGGTAGGAGGGGATTTAAGAGACCAACAGGATGTCAAGGAACGGGGCTGGGAGAAACCCTGGTGGGCCACCTGTCCCCGTGCTGCCACCACGCTGTCCCTGCGAGCCCTCTGCACAAGTCAAAACTGCCGGATTTCACCATCACAGAGAGGTCAGCTTGAGACCCAGGGGCAGAGGAGATTTTTCCTTTTGCTCTGCAGGTGATGAGTCTTTGCTCATCTTTTTTCTTTTTTTCTTTTTGGAACCAATGTCTGAAAAAACACATCAGGTTAGATTCTTCCTTTTATGAATTTGGTTTTATGCTGCTCTGCCTACATCCACGTAAAAGCCCACCTTGAGCCATGCTGACCCAGGTGCAAAGTCCGGGCTGGAGGATGCCTGCCTGGATCTGAATCCTTCTCACAGTGAGAGTTCAAGGCTTCCTACATCCTGGCTGACCTGGAGCAGGTGGCCAAGATTTAATTGGAAGAAGTCAAAAATAAAAAGTCCAGGGCCCCAAAACTAGACTAACACATCTTTGACTCATGGCAGTTTGTGCTAGGGGACTGGTGGACTAAAGCAAGCGAGAGAATTTCCTCACTAGGGTCTAGCGCCTTGGGACCTGGGCCAGTTGAGTAAACTCCCTGGCACACAACATGTACGGAATGACCTTCTGTCACCACTGGGCATTGAATCCTTGAATTTTCCTGTGCCTTCAAGCTGAGTTGAGCAAAAAGAGAGGGGAAAGCCGCTGCTAAGCCTGCAGAGAGCTCAGTGGTTTCTGCGGGTCAAAAGAAATTCTCTCACCTAGGCAGGAACTCCACTTTTTCTTTAGAAAAAGCTATGAAGAATACTCACCTTCCACAAAGTCTGAGTTGGAAAACACCCGCTGTTTTGCATTGCCATTGTCCTTTGGCCTGTTCAAAGTCTCCAGGCCCAGCTCAATCACCTCACCCAGGTCGTCCTGTTTGTCCTTCCGCACCGGCTTCTCCTCAGGGTGATGTGTCAGGCCTGTCTCCAGCTGGTACACTTTTTGTAGGGTGAAGCTCTCAAAGGGCACGGCCGCATACTCATTCGGCAGCCTCACGCCCTTGTGGACCTCCGCTTTGTCAACCTGCGAGTGCAGGAACCGCAGGAGATCGGCCTGGGTCCACCCCACTCCCAGGGGTGCATTGCTTGGGCCCTGCTGGCTCCTCAGCTGCCTGCTCCGCTCCTGCAGGGCCCCCTTCAGCTGGGCAATCTGCCTCTTCAGGCTGTGGAGGTGCTCCTGCTGGTGCTCCTCTGTCTCGCGGAGGAGGGCTCGGTGCTCCTCTTGCCCGGCGGGGCTCTTGTGCCTGGGGGAGGCAAGATGCCACGGGTCACCTCTGGGGCCACAGGACAGCATGTAGAGCACCGACACCGAGCAGCAGACAACCAGCAGGACGGCTCCTGTCCGGGAGAACCAAGCCATCAGGCCTCGCCGAAACATGGTCTAAGCAGCTGACGGTGCCCGCATTCCTTCCCAGGTCAGCCAGCCGCTGCTGCGAGGTCCTACACCACGAGCCACGTCACGTTCCCTCCGCATGCACGCCGGGCAAGGGGGCAGCTCTGTCCGCAGACCAGGGGGAGAGCCAGCATGGTGGACTTCAGGCCACCTCCGTGGCTGGCTGGCATCCGTGGAGACAAGGCGAGCTGAAGAACAACATGGAGGCAGGCAGGCAGACAGACAACCTTTGTGGGCAGATCAGAGATAAAAGTACATTACAATGTAAAAAAAAAAACCCATCAAGGTAACAAGGCAATCGTAAGGCCAACCAAAATGACATAGATCAGTTAATAGCTTTCCTGAATCGAACTGCAGACGACATTAGAGGCTATGAGCCTGTTCACGGGGAGGGCGGGGTAAGAACGTTAATAATAAAATAAAATAAATAAAATGAGAAAGCTGTGTCCGGAAAGTAACCGCTGAACCTTGACACTGTCAGGGAAGCCACACCCTATGCAGAAAAGGGAGTTCAGAAATGTTTCTCAAATCTTAATGCATAATGGACAGTTTAATAGAACATGGGAAACAGATTCAACAGCACCCAGGCTACAGGGGCATCGTCTAAATTCATAGGGGATTTTTTTACATCTTCCAAAGAAGATGGCCGACGGCAGTACATTAAACCTGGCCAGCATAAATGCCCTTCTTTGATGAGGATCAAATAAAGAGCAGAAATAAGAGGCTATCTGGCCAGATAATTCCAGATGAATTGGAGAGCACGTTTTCCTAGCTGCCTCAGTCAGGCGCTGAAATTGGATATCTAACAGCCTGCATTTAATTATCTGAAATGCTGTTGCGGAGACGATAAGTAAAGCAAATCTAGAGGTATACCTAAAGACCTAATTTTGCCAGTTTGGTGTAGTGGTTAAGTGCACAGACTCTGATCTGGGAGAACCGGGTTTGATTCCCCACTCCTCCACTTGCACCTGGCTGGATGACCTTGGGCAAGCCATAGTTCTGATAAGAGCTGTTCTTGAAAAAGAGCCGTTTCTGTCAGAGCTCTCTCAGCCTCGCTGACCTCACAGGGTGTCTGCTGTGGGGAGGGGGAGGGAAAGGAGTTTGTAAGCCGCTCTGAGACTCCTTTGGGTAGTGAAGGGCAGGATAAATCTCTTGTTCTTCTTCTTCTTAAGGACTAATTTCAACCAGTTAGATTCATGATAATCTGTCAATATTAAGAAAGTAAGAGAGTTCGATCAGAATTAAACAAAAGGCGAATCCAAAATTTGATTGTCAAAATCCAGGCCCGAGTTTCTAGCAACAACTGGCCGGTCTCAAGACAAATCGCAGCATATAGAACACAGGGAGACCAAGGATTTCTGTAGAAAAAACGATTCTAGTCCCTCAGCTGATGGAGGAGGAGGAGACTGGATTTATACCCCACCCTTCACTCGAAGTCTCAGACTGGTTTACAAACTCATTTCCCTTCCCCTCCCCACAACAGACACCCTGTGAGGGAGGTGGGGCTGAGAGAGCTCTGACACAAACTGCTCTTTATCGAGAACAGCTCTGACAGAACTACGGCTTGCCCAAGGTCATCCAGCCAGGTGCAAGTGGAGGAGTGGGGAATCAAACCCGGTGTAACAGGCCAGATTAATCCCCCGGCCAGAGTAACCCCAGGTTAATCTGGCCAGCTGTAACAGGCCAGATTCACCCCCCGGCCAGAGTAACCCCGGGGTTACTCTGGCCTAGCCTAGAATAACCCCCCTAGGCCAGATTAACCCCCCAGGCCTGCTTTCTGGGGCTGCTTTCTTTTCCTACTAAGATAGATACTTCCCCAATAACCAGAGAGAACCACCTTCTGTTGCCAGAGGGGCTGCCTTTTACTCTTGGGAAGCCCCAATACCGAGGGCACCCCACTTATAACCTGACCCAGAGACCCACAGGACTCAGGCCAAGGAAGGCACCCAAGTCCCATGATGATTATCCTAGTGACTCTGCAAATGACCGCCTGAAGCAGAAGACACTCAAAAGACCACGTGAGGGACCAGACAATGATGACATCAACATCTCACAGAGACGCCAGCAGATGAAGACTTTCAACCCACTACCAAGTTCTGTAAGAAAGTATCTTAGCACCACTCTTGGCCTTTCATTAGTAAAGGTTGTGTACTGTGGACGCACAAGGGAGCTTGGGCATCCACGACATATGTATAAAACCAAAGGTGATGGGAACTGCTACTTCCGGGCCATCAGCTACATCCTGACAGGATCAGAGGACAACCACTCCCTTCTTAGAAATAAAGTCATCCACCACATGAACACTGACTTGACAGAGAAACTACAGGACTACTTGAACCGGAATGTGAGTGAATATGTGAGCACTTCTGGCATCTCTCATGATGGAGTCTGGGCAACTGATGCAGAGATCATGGCCACAGCGAATCTGCTGAGTTGCGACATCCTCATCCACACAAAAGCTGGTCACTCCATGGAATGGTTGACCTATCCCGCAAGCTTCAATCTGCAGTCAACAACAGAGCATGCACTTTATCTTGGAAACAAGCATGATCATTTTGATGTTGTCATTAGTGTTTAGCTTTGAATAATTATATCTCTGTGGGTACTTGGTAGCCATCAAAGTAGAAGTTTCAGGATGTTATGACTTATATTACATTATGGACAGCTAAGTTAAGTGAACATCAAGTCTAATGTTTTTACTGTTGTTTCTAATCTAAAGTTGTGGGCAACCTTTTTTTAAAAAAATGGGGGGAAGGGAGAGTTGGAAGGCATCGACTTCAGTGAACGTACCTCAATCAGATCGAGGACGTTTTCAGCAAAGGCCACCTTAGGAGTACCATAATTAAGTTAATAACAAAGTACCTACCTATATAATTTGGCTCTCCAAAAAATGTCAGTCGTCGTACTGTTGATATTTGGGTCTGTTGACTAATGAGATTGGATTCATACCCTGTTCTTCACTACCAAGAGGAATCTCAGATTGCCTGACAAGTTTCTCATGGACCTGAAACCCTCAGAAGCTGACACTGTGCTGGCTACACTGACATCTAAGTTACCATTCAACTAAGCCCGGGGTTACAGGTTGTTGTGTTGTGCAGTTAAAACGAAGAAGTTAAAAAAAGAAGTTAAAAAGAAGAAGAGATTGGATTCAGCTAACATTTAACTTACCACTCTGGCCAGGCGGGGGGTAGTATGGGCTAGCCTAGAGTAACCCCCCGGGGTTAAAAAGAAGAAGTTAAAAAAAGAAGTTAAAAAGAAGAAGAGATTGGATTCAGCTAACATTTAACTTACCACTCTGGCCAGGCGGGGGTTAGTATGGGCTAGCCTAGAGTAACCCCCCGTCTGGACTAACCCCGGGGTTACTCTGGCCTGGCCCGGCAGGGGTTACTCTGGCCGGGGGGAGGTGAATCTGGCCTGTTACAGCCGGCCAGATTAACCCGGGGTTACTCTAGCCTAGGCCAGAATAACCCCTCAATAACCGCTCCGGATTATTCTAGGCTAGGCCAGAGTAACCCCGGGGTTACTCTGGCCGGGGGGTTAATCCGGCCTGTTACACCGGTTCGCCCAGATTAGAGTCTCTGCACACTTTACCACTACACCAAAGTGGCTCTGATTGGTTGCTCTGATCCTGAAGGAACATATTAAAAAAATTCCTATAGGAAACAGGCCTTATGATTAAAACTCTTTTGCTCAGAGGTCATCAGACATCTGAAATTGATATTTGCAATCTGCCCCCACCTTTTCTCACCCACTTGACTAAGAGCCAACAATAGGAACCTTGCAGCATTCTGCCAGGATCTGTGGTTAAGAAATCTGCCAGTATCTGTGGTTAAGACATTTATTCCTGTAAGCTATGGTAACTGTTTTTCAGTAAGAGTTTAAAGAAGCAGGTGCATTACATGATGCAATCTAACTGGAACACTTGCTGAAAGAGACATGAGCCCCACAGAAAGTGTGTGAAATAGGAAGGAATGTGCAAGACAGTTCTCTTTTGCTCTGTAAATTCTTTAGTTAGGAAAACTATTGCCTATGTTTAAATTGCTTAAAATGTTTATGACATGTATTCTGCATATCTCGTGTGTATAAAAACTCCTCGAAGCCCTTTATCAGTGTGCAGCCAATTTTAGAGAGCTCTTGGGCTCGGCGCACCTTGACATCAATAAAAAAATCTCTCCTCTTGCTTTGCCTGGTAGTCTGGAGATTTTATTGGGCTCAAGTCTTTGTTTTACTCTGTCCTGCTTCAATCTGTAGAAGAATTGTGGGCTGGATTTTGCCTTCGCTCTGTCCTGCTTCAATCTGTAGAAGAATTGTGGGCTGGATTTTGCATTAAAGGCTTTTAAAGCCATGGGAACACACCTATTGCCAAAAATGGAGGCATATTACGCATTCAGGCGCCGTGTCAACATATTCTGCTTCAAAAGAAGCCATTGTAGCTTATGGAGCTGCTATCAGGAAAAGGGGAATAGTGTACTGGTTATGAACCAGGAAATCCCTAAACTGGCCTTAGGCAACCTGCTCTCTCTCTCTCTCTCTCTCTCTCTCTCTCTCTCTCTCTCTCTGAGCCTTGCCCCCCTCCCCCACATCTACATTAATAATTCTGATATACTTTACCAAGGTGTGGCAAGGACGGAAATAATACAATGCCTTAAAGCGTTAAAGTGCTACATGCGGAAACTGTTTGCTAGGCCATGGTGGTTCCCATCATCAGCAGTGTCGTTTTGAAGGTATATACTAATTGATGTGCATCTTGGCCCTCAGTTCTTTTGGTAATTTTGCATTTGTGCCTGGAAGTCATGGTGACCTCTGGAGACTCCTACTGGGGCATGGAGGACATTCAGCGAAGCAGCTGGATAGCCTGCCGCTGCCTTCCGGCCCAGTCTCCCACCCAAATACTTGCCAGGGTATACTTGCCCTGCTTCGCTTCCGAGATCTGATGAGATCAGTTGGCCTGAGCTATCCAGGTCAGGGCAATAAGGATGTCCTCACTTTACTTATGAATATTGGGGTTGGT